AAGAAAAATGGGCCGAGCATATATCTTAATTGGGCTTAAAGTTGAATCAATTGAGATCGACTTATTTGCAAGAATAGGCCGGATAAAATGCATCCATTTGGACCAGAATTTTCCAGATAAATTGGGCCGAATGTCAAATTCAAGGCTCGATCAGAAAAAGGCTCGACTCCATCGCGATGTTCGGGAATTTAAAATAAATCAACCAGATGAAGTATATATATATATACATACACTACACATAATAGTTTATATAATAATAATAAGCAATTAAAACAATTTAGACAATTTGGCAATTAATACAATTAATATCAAGAATATTAATAATAATAATAACAATAAATAATACTCGAAAAATCCATAAATAAACAGGTTAAATTCGGACTACGCGATTAAACCGAGATTGGCAAACGACGAAAATTTTAAAAATAAAATGATCGAATACTCCGATCGCGACTAATAAAATAAATATAACCTTATAAATAATATTAAATAAATAAAATTTCCGAGAAATTCTATAAATCGAACGGGGCGTTACAATCTATCCTCCTTAAAATATTTCCGTCCTAAGAAATACGAAAGAACACGCATCTAAAGGAAAACGACATACTCGAAAAGCATACACTCACGTACAGGACTCAATCCGACTCGCCTTATGCTCATATGTTTGCCTTATTGCATGGGAGGGTGATCAATCCTGCCCGAGCTTAGGCGCACATCCTCATGCAAGAGACTCAGTCCGGCTTGGCCTATACCCATGAGTATCAACAATTAACTCCGTACCTAACAACACACAAGACCTCAACAGGTCGTTCGGTGTATTGCCAGCATACTCCGACTACCTCACCAACAAGGTGGACGCGTGACGCCAAGTTTCAATCTCGTATTCGAGTCATATTGATAACTTGTTCACGATTTATCACAGACCGTGTGTCTCTATCAGAGACTACGACACGGTACACAGCACAACCCCAGATGCTCATACTCACACGATATCTACTCCACGAGTCGAACGCAACCCTTATGTGCAACATAAGGATTGACCAATAGCAATACAACATTCCCAATTTGTCCACTCGAGAAACTCTCAAATAAGACATAGGGACTCACTGACTACACTCCTCCAATCTGAAATCATCGATTAAGGATTTACACACATTTAGTGGGACTCGGAGCTCTCGGTTCAAGGTTCGAACGAAAAGGGTTCAAAAGGATAATCAAATATTTCAGCATGAAACGGTTTCAACAGTTCAGGAAAAACAACGATGGTTGGCCGTATACGATGACTTGGGGAGTTTGTGCATACGGTGATGACGGCTACAGTTCGCATGCGAGTCAACGGTCGGCCGCGCGCAAGCCTCCCGTCTCTCAGCACCGTCGTGCGTGCTCGGCCACCACTTCACGTGGCTACACCTAGCCAGAGTCGGCGTTCGGTTCAAGGTTTCACAAGAAGTTTATATCTCAGATTACCAAAAAGAAATGGTTTTATCAATTAACGAGAATTTTGGGTCCAATATATANNNNATATCAGTCATTTCAGAATTTCAAAGGTTTCAAAAGTTTCCAATATCACAAGGAGCATGCTCGAGTTCCAAGTCCACTACCTACTCTAACCAAAACAAAACAATAACCAATGGACAGCCTACGATATGGGGTCGGGAAAAACTTCCCAAAAGAAATGAGGATCAGTCCCTCAGCGAGGAACAATCCCGATCCCAGCGGTCACTACCAAAATAATGAACGCTTAGCTCATTCGACTCTTCTGAATAACAGTGTCGGCCGTCACGTCAGCTCTTGATTCACGTAGCTAACCGTGCCGGCAGTCTTAAATGAGCTTTTAAAGATACAATGAACGAACATCACAGTGAAGGTGGCTCAGCACCCCACAATGTGCTTGTTCTGAACTCGGCTATCCTCCTTAAAAGATTTATGCATAACATTTTAAGGTGGAAAGAAACACTCTCTGACACGCGTCAAATCAATTGATCTGAAGTTCCACGCCAGAAAGGAGAAGTTGAAGCGAAATTCTCAAAACGCGAAAATTGGATAACGAAAGAAGCTTAAAGCACAATTCAAAATTGCTTGCCATACAAAAAGTAAGGGTTTGCAGAAGTCTACAAGAAGACCAGAATTCAAAAATAAAACAAGACTGCCTCGCATCTACAAGTCCACGCTTTACGGCCTCCATCATCGGTTCAAGCTGCTCCCGGATATCCACGACAAATTCAAGAAAAACAATCAACGCATAGAAGGAGTATACGAACAATTATATACCCGACCAACCAACGGATTTTCAAATTCAATAAATGAAAACAAATGATTTAAAACAGGGAAAAATTCTACCATTATATCGAAATTCTCAACCAGTAACTACTAAAGATAGAACTTAACTCTATAGCACTAGAGTTCCCGTTCAAACAACTAAATTCACACTCATCTAAAGTTCAAGAACGTTTAAAAGCAGGAGGATATATTTCCATGCCCCGATTTCACTTCAATAATCAATATTCAAGCTATGCACAATAATCTCAAAATCATTCAGGTACTCATACCTGAGCTGGCGCGACACGACGAGAGCGAGTGGTCATAACTTAGGGTCAAGCACATAATCACATAATTCATATTAACCAGTCTACAGAAACACAGACTAGCTCTGATACCAAACTGTAACGCCCTACTTTTATTTGCCGAAAATCAGAATAAATTTTCAAAATTTATTTCAAAACATTTGAGGCGCTACTCATTTTCCAAATCAATAATCAATACTTATCAACCATCAATAATCAATAATCCCAATAATCAATAATACAATCCAAGCATTCCAATAATCAATATCCTAGGGAATACACTCCCTATCAATAATCCAATAATCAATAATAGCAAATACATTAATAATAGTATTAAATTCATCAAGCGGAAGCAATAATAATTACTATGACCACCACTCGCATCCCTTTGTCGTGCCCACGCAAACTAACCTGCATCCATGAAGAGCAGGTGGGGATGAGCAAAAGAGGAAACAATAGTGCTCACCACTATGCAGTAAAAGTTATTCACAATATTGAAACAGTAATCATAAATCCATAAGGTATGGTCTCAGCATGTATATGAAACAATTATCTATCTCAATATCCCGTCAATAATCAATAATCAATAATCAATAATCACTCTCATGTGCACACCTATATCAATAGACTACTGCCGGCTATATATCGAATGGCCCTTGGCCTCACATCGAGTGCTCGGCCAGTAGGAGTAAATCCACCCCGATGGCCCTTGGCCTTACACGGGGATCACCAGCCAAGGCTCACGCCCTGACTGCCAACAATAATGAAGAAGACTACCTATCGGGTACGTTCTATAGTTATAGGGATAACCGTTCGACGGCCGATACAGCTCACATCGAAGGCTACATGTTCCACATGCATACTTTGATCATACCACAAGTAAACAATAATAACAGTAATAACATTTACAGCATAGACAATTTTTCAAAACCCACCTGGTGTCGATTGATAAAGCAAATACCGGAAAGTTGTATGTGTTGAGATATTGCTCGCCAGACACCTACATAAGTCAAGACAGTCCCATAAGCAACTATCTCGACTCTTACACAGATAACGAGAATTATACTTAGTCGAATCACATCGACTAAGAAACTCGTGGAATTTGTGGAGTTGGAATATTAGGACGACTTCTATACTCGACCAACCAACTAATAAATCATATAAAGGCATTCGATAAAGGTTTGACACAAAAACGAGGTCATCAGGTCAAGGATTTACCATTAAAGCCAAAACCGGTCAAAAGAACTAGTTTTAAAATTTATAAGAATATGGCTATAAGGAGATAGGCTTGGACAATTCAATTCAAATTTTTACAGCACTTAAAGAACTGAAAACTAAACATTTTCACCAAAGGAAAGCCCTTACACATGCTCCTAACCAATTTAAATAAATTGAGCAAAATCTGGACAGAATTCAAATTAATTCATTTAATTAGCTAGAATTAGAATTAAATTTTGAATGTTTTACAGTAGCAAGAAATCATTAAGAACAACAACATATCCAAAAATTAGCCAAATCGGACAGGAACTCGATTTTATATGAATTTATAATGAAACAGTCCAGAAACAGTTTTCGAGTTTTGACAAGGCTACAAGCCATATAAAAATCTCCAATTTTAACTAAATGTAATATAACATCAATGTGACAACATATCCAAAAATCAAAATTTTTGGAGCAATACACGAATTATAATGATTTTAGAAAAAACGGGCTACAACACGATTTTCAAAAATTCATATCTTACAATATACATATCGAAACGAGACAAGGCCAAAGCCGTTGTGTCAAGGACGTTCCTAAGTCCAATAATCCACAGCACTTCCACAGAAATTACTACATCAAATACGGTTCGACAATTTTTCAAAGTGACGGTAATCACTTTGATATCCAATGGCCATTATGTATCGAAATTTCACCCAAACACTTATCCCAGGCACGTAATTCACTCGACATACAAACATTTAGCAATTTAACATGTTCAACACATTGACACATGATATGTCACATATTAATAACCTAACCTAATATATAATACGTATACTCAAAGCAAAGAAAACACGTATAATCATATCAAAATTGAGCGGGATAAGAGGCTCGGGTACTGTTCCCGGGACGGGGGTCACAAAAAGAGCGAGCCGAGACTGAGATGGGCTACCCGTGGAGGCTCAACAACTTCGTTTAGCTCGCCGACGGGGCACGGAGAATGGGACAGCAAGCTTGGCTGGAGGGTGATGATAGCAAAGGCAGCGGGACCTGTTGGGACCGCCGGAGGAGGGTTCACAATAGCGATGAAAGGCTGCGGGTCGCCGGACAGCAGCACGGGACGGCGGTGGTGCACGGCACAGCAGGTAGCTGGTTGCTGCGAGGTGCTCGGGCCTGCACACTTGACCAGATGATGCAGCGGTCGAGTTCACTGATGTCCCGCGATCAAAGACATCAACCAATGGTCGCGGTGTGGCGTTGTTCTGTCGCGGCGAGGCGGGGCTCAGTTCGCGGCGCGATGGGATTTGCATGTGGTGGTGCGACGAGCATCAAACACCTGATAACTATTGGCCTGCAGCAGGGACGTAGATGGACGAGGCCTGCCGGGAGGGGACTCGCGAGGGAGATGACGATTTGTGACTGATCACAGCAAGGAAGGTGTAATAACCCAACTTCTTGTTAATAGAAATGATGTATTATCTTTTATTGATTCTGTTCATTTTCAGCGAATAAGTTCGACGTTAAGTCGAAAAGTTTATCCGGTTAATTATTAACCGAGTCGAATTGATAATTAGTTTCTGAACCGTTTATTTTATAAACGGACAGTATTAATCGGGATTAATTATTGAAAATTTAGAATGTTCGGAATTTAATGTCAAAGTCATATTAAGTCATGAATGCACTAAGGAACACTAAGCACGCACGCGTATACGCATGCTGTGCATACGACCACGCACGCAAACGCGCACCACGTGCATTGTCGCGCACCGCGCATCGCGCGCACCGTCAAGCCCCTTAAGCACGCGC